CGTCCGTGTTTGTGTTGCTTACAAGGTTCCATTGATTGCCATTTGGCTCAAGTCACAAGTGAGGTTCAAGATCTTATGTGAAGCTGCGTTCATACGTGATCGGCAATTGAGAGCGGAAAACACTTCGCTTGCGCTGCATTTGTCAGGACCACTGTTGTAGCTATTATTCCTTCTCCCTTACAACAGTTACACGGGTTCGGCTATAACGGTTTGACCGTATACACCTTTCTACGTGGTTGGTATTTACAGCTGGAGGGTTCGGTGGACAGCGTCCCACGGGACGTCACCTTGCCGTCTCTTGACAGTTTGGGAAGTGGCAGTGGGTTCATCCAGTGGTTTGTTCGGGAAGTGGAAGTGGGTTTGTCCCGTGGTTTGTTCGGGCATTGTCAGCGGGTTTGTCCCGTGCTTTGTTCGGGCATTGTCAGCAAGTTTGTCCAGTGGTTTGTTCGGGAATTGGCAGTGGCTTGGTCCCGTGCTTTGTTCGGGCGTTGTCAGCGGGTTTGTCCAGTGGTTTGTTCGGGAAGTGGCAGTGGGTTCATCCGGTGGTTTGTTCGGGAAGTGGAAGTGGGTTTGTCCCGTGGTTTGTTCGAAAATTGGCTGTGTTTGGGCATTGTCAGCGGGTTTTTCCAGTGGTTTGTTCGGGAAGTGGAAGTGGGTTTGTCCCGTGGTTTGTTCGGGAATTCTCAGCGGGTTTGTCCCGTGGCTTGCTTGGGAAGTGGCAGTGGGTTCATCCAACACACACAGTTGGATTTCGTGGCAGGTCCAGCACTTTGGATGATTTTGACTTTGTGGCAAGCTTACTTTGCGTGACAGGCGCCGCACTTTCGAGCGTTTTGATTGAATTTCGTGGCTGGCGCGGCACTTTGGAGCTTTTCGTGCAAACTTCGTGGCAGGCGCAGAACTTTGGTGCCTGCAGAAGTTTCGTTCAGAAGTGCCGATCACAAGTGTCCATTAGAAGTGTCGTTCAGAAGTGTCGATCAAAAGCGTCGCTCGTCGGAAGTGTCGACAGAAGTGGCTCGGAAGTGTCGATCAGAAGTGTTGCTCAGAAGTGTCGATCAGAAGTGGCGAAGAGAAGTGTTGCTGAGAAGTGTTGCTCCGACGTGTCCCTCAGAAATGTTGTCAGAAGTATGGATCAGAAGTGTTGCTCAGAACTAAAACTGTTGATCAGATCAGAAGTGTGGATCCGACGTGTTGCTCACAACTGTCGATGAGAAGTGTGGATCAGAAGTGTTGCTCATCAGTGTCAATCAGAAGTGTGGTTCGGCAGTGTTGCTCAAACCCTCGATCAGAAGTGTCAATCAGAAGTGCGGATCCAAATTGTTGCTCAAAAGTGTCGATCAGAAAAAGTGTCCCTCAGAAGTGTTGCTCAGAAGTGTCGATCAGAAAAAGTGTGGTTCAGCAGTGTTGCTCAAACTGTCGATCAGAAGTGTCGAGCGCAAGTGCGCATCAAAAGTGTTGCTCAGGAGTGTCGATCAGAAGCGTCGATCAGAGGTGTTACTCAGAAAAGTCTATCCGAACAAGTGTCGCTCCGAAGTGTTGCTCAGAAGTGTTGAGCAGAACTCAGAAGTGTTGATCAGGTGTCGCTCAAAAGTGTCGCTCAGAAGTGTCAATCAGAAGTGTGGGTCAGAATCGTTGCTCACTCAGAAGTGTCGATCAGAAGTGTTGCTCAAGTGTCGCTCAGAAGCGTCAATTCAGCAGTGTTGCTCAGGAGTGTTGTTCAGAAGTGTCGATGAGCAGTGTGGATCAGAAGTGTTGGTCAGAAGTGTTTCTCAGAACTGTCGATGAGAAGTGTGGGTCAGAAGTGTTGCTCATCAGTGTCAATCAGAAGTGTGTTTCAGCAGTGTTGCCCAAACTGTCGATCAGAAGTGTCGAGCACAAGTGCGGATCAAAAGTGTTGCTCAAAAGTGTCAATCAGAAGTGTTGCTCAGAACAGTCAATCAGAATAAGTGTCGCTCAGAAGTGTTGCTCAGAAGTGTCGATCAGAAAAAGTGTGGTTCAGAAGTGTTGGTCAGCTGTCGCTCAATCGTGTCGGTCAGAAGTGTTAATCAGAAGTGTTGCTCAGAAAAGTCGATCAGACAAAGTGTCGCTCAGAAGTGTTGTTCAGAAGCGTCGATCAGAAAAAGTGTGGTTCAGAAGTGTTGATCAAGTGTCGCTCAGAAGTTTCAATCAGAAGTGTTGCTCAGAACAGTCAATCAGAAAAAGTGTCGCTCAGAAGTGCTGCTCAGAAGTGTCGATCAGAAAAAGTGTGGTTCAGAAGTGTTGGTCAGCTGTCGCTCAATCGTGTCGCTCAGAAGTGTTAATCAGAAGTGTTGCTCAGAAAAGTCGATCAGAAAAAGTGTCGCTCAGAAGTGTTGTTCAGAAGCGTCGATCAGAAAAAGTGTGGTTCAGAAGTGTTGCTCAGAAGTGTCGCTCAAAAGTGTCGCTCAGAAGCGTCAATCAGAAGTGTGGGTCAGAAGTGTTGCTCACTCAGAAGTGTCGATCAGAAGTGTCAATTCAGCAAGCCGTGTTGTTCAGAAGTGTCGTTCATAAGTGTTGATGAGCAGTGGGCTCAGAAGTGTTGGTCAGAAGTGTTGCTCAGAACTGTCGATGAGAAGTGTTGCTCATCAGTGTCAATCAGAAGTGTGGTTCAGCAGCGCTGCTCAAACTGTCGATCAGAAGTGTCAATCAGAAGTGCGGATCAACAGTGTTGCTCAAAAGTGTCGATCAGAAAAAGTGTCCCTCAGAAGTGTTGCTCAGAAGTGTCGATCAGAAAAAGTGTGGTTCAGAAGTGTTGCTCAGGTGTCGCTTAAGAGTGTCGCTCAGAAGTGTCAATCAGAAGTTTTGCGCAGACGTGTCGCGCTGGAAATTCGCAACTTTATAGTGCAAGTCTAGTGCGCGAAGTACAGGTTTCGAGCTCTAGCTGGAAACTCGCAACTTTGTAGTACCAGTCTATCGTGCGAAGTACAGGTTTCTAGCTCTAGCTGGAAAATCGCGACTTTGTAGTACAAGTCTAGCACACGAAGTACAGGGTTCTAGCTCTAGCTAGAAAATCGTGACTTTGTAGCGCAAGCCTAGTACGCAAAGTACAGGGTTCTAGCTCTAGCTGGAAAATCGCGACTTTGTAGTACAAGTCTAGTACGCAAAGTACAGGTTTCCAGCTCTAGCTCGAAAATCGCCACTTTGTAGTACCAGCTCTAGCCTGGAGAATCACAACTTTGAAGTACAAGTCTAGTGCGCGAAGTGTGCAGGTTTCCAGTACTAGCTGGAAAGTCACAACTTTGCAGCGCAAGTATAGTGCGTGAAGTACAAGTTTCCAGCTCTGGCTGGAAGATCGCAACTTTGAAGTGCAAGTGTAGTACGTACGCGAAGTACAGGCTTCGAGCTTGAACATCGCAACTGTGTAGCACAAGTCTAGTACGCAAAGTACAGGTTTTCAGCTCTAGCTGGACAATCGCAGCTGTGTAGCGCAAGTCCAGTGCGCGAAGTAATTACCAGCTCCGGCTGGAAAATCGCAACTTTGTAGTACAAGTCTAGCGCGCGAAGCGCAGGTGTCCAGCTCCAGATTGAAAATCGTAGCTTTGTAGCAACAAGTGGAGCACGCAAAGTACAGTTTTACAAGCTGAAAACCATAGTTTGCGCAGTAGGCTTGATGCGAGCCCCATTGGCTTATACCGAACAATGTTCTCTCTAATTAGTTTCTTGGGCTTGCGCAAAGTGATGCGCATTCGGGTTCATGGCTTCTATCAGGTTTTTGGAATTGGCAGTGGGTTCATCCAGTGGTTTGTTGGGCAAGTGGGCGTGGGTTTGTCCAGTGGTTTGTTCGGACAATTGGCAGCGTCTTTGTCCAGCGATTTGCTTGGGAATTTTGGAAGTTTGTTCTGGCAGTGGGTTTGTCCAGTGGTTTGTTCGGGCACTGGCAGTACGTGGGTCTGTCCAGCGGTTTGTTCGGGCAGTGCGTTTGTCTAGTTGTTTGCGGTCCGTTCAGAGATTGGCGCGGGTCTTTCCAGCGCTTTGTTCGGGAAGTGGCAGTGAATTTCTGCAGTTGTCTCTCGGGACTGGTTGGTTTGTTCGGGAATTGGCATCGTCTCGTGGTTTGTTCGGGCATTGCCCGTGGGTCTGTCCCGTGGCTTGCACGGGAATTGGCAGTGTCTTCATCCCGTGGTTTGTTCGGGAAGTGGACGTGGGTTTGTCCAGTGGTAGTGGCTTTGTCCAGCGATTTGCTTTGGAATTTTGGAAGCTTGTTCTGGAACTGGCAGTGTGTTTGTCCAGCGGCGTTTGTTTAGTTGTTTGCGGTCCGTTCAGAGATTGGCGCGGGTCTTTCCAGCGCGTTGTTCGGGAAGTGGCAGTGGACTTCTGCAGTTGTCTCTCGGGACTGGTTGGTTTGTTCGGGAATTGGCAGTGGCTTCGTCTCGTGGTTTGTTCGGGCATTGGCAGTGGGTCTGTCCAGGGGTTTGCTCCGGCACTGGCAGCGAGTTTGCCTAGTTGTTTGTTCGGAAAGATGCTGAATCCCGAAAATCTGCGTTTGTCGGTGGGAGCTTCTGCGCGAATGGGCTGCTGTACACACCAGGCCACTGATCAAAGGCCGAAAAAGGCGCCTGTCGTGTCACACACGGTTTTGAAGCAGTTTGGACCGTCAGGGGTTGGTTGGGGCTCGCTTGGGATGGTCCGAACAATGGCCGATGGCTGGGAGCGTAGGGGTGGTCGGGACGGATCTTGGGTTTTTCTCTCAACGAGGGTTGTTGTGGACTCGGGGTCAGGTGGTGTGGTCGGGATTTGGGGATTGTTGAGATGGGTTGGGAGAGTGGTTGGCAACGCCACGCATGCCACTCTGCAGGAGGCATGCCACACCTGAGGCTCATGCGGCGAACGCAACTCACGCCGGCCGACTCATATCATTCGTGCTACATTTGCGTTGAACGCTGCTGCGTTCATAAGCCTTCTGCGCTTTAAAGAATTGCTGTAGCAATTTGCCTCTCAGAAGTCTAGCTTCATGTGGGATTGACGCATGCGGCTACCCTGGCATGGACTTCCAGGGGAAGAAGGTGGTGTTTCCGCATCACCAGCTCTTCCGGGGCTCTCCAAAAGCTCGGCGCCACCGGCTGAGCTACCAGCGTGCCGTGGCGCGGCTCCACGCCGTGCTGAAGGGGAAGAGCGGGACGGGCCCCAAGAAGGCCGGACAAGAGCTGAGATGAGACATGAGAAGTGGAAGAAATGAGATTGAGACAGAGACACGGGTGACACGGAGCGGGAGTTCCGCGCAGACAGCTTCCACGCTCTTTGTCCTCGCTGTGGCCGTCCAGACCAAGGCCAAGCTTCAAGCCGTGCGAGACGACACTTTGCCTTCCAAGCGCAAGGCTGATGGCTCAGGCTCAGCGTGCAATCGGGGAGGGGCGGGAGGGGGCTGGAGAGGGGGTGTTTCTTGTTCAGTCCATGCAGAGTTTACCATTCCCAAGGCGAAAGACGTGGCTATAGCGTTTGCAAATGCTTCTTTACGCAATGATGAGCCCGTCTGGGACTTTCCAACCGGTTGTGGGGGAGCGGAGCTGTAAGACACAGGATCCAGTAAACAATATGGATCTGTCGGCCTTTGCAGGAAAAGCTCGCCCAGCCACAAACCAGAGTAGCATCTGCTTTTTCAAACGCTGACGCGACACAGCCGGCCACCGGGCACCCTGTCCATCCCGTTCCTTTCAGTGCCCTTTCATTACTTCCCGTGATGTCCACTTCCTTTTTTACGTCGGTTCCCCACTCTTCCCTGCATGTCCGATGTCTCCTTGCATTGCATTTCACTTCCTTTCATTTCGCTTCCTTTCCGTTCAGCTCCCGACTGACCCAGTTGCGCGTCAGTTTGGCCCTGCCGTCCACGCCTGTTGGGCATCCTCGGGTTGTTGCTGCTGATCGACCAGACATAGTCGCGCTGTTGCCAACGCACCAAACGTCCCACCGGATGTCCTGAGCAGCTCCCGCCGGTCCAACTCCCGAGGCACGCCCCAAGCGCATAGCACTTCAATCCGAGGATCGCGAGGGCGTGCGCGTTAGATAAGCAGCCCAAACACAACTCGCGCTCGCTTCGCGTTGGCCCCATCGCGCGTGCCCCGGGCAATTTAGTCGTGCAATCATATAGCTGAAAATGGGAAACAACAACGCCGCAACATTTGTGCCAAACTAAAGGTGCCTGGCACCTGACACGCGCGGAGCACTGCGTGCTAAGTGCGCCCGCTCAAGAGCACGTGCTAGAATCCCGCCAGGTACAGATGCAAAAAACATCGCTTGTCGTGCATCATCTGACATGGTGAAGAGCGTGGGCAGTACCAGCCCGGCACGAACCATTTCAGGGATTGCTGAAAAATGTGAAGAAGGCAAGCTTGGTGAGGATGAAGATGTAGAATGTTAAAACCATGCCCGGCAAGCTTGGGTAGGGGCTTTTGCTCCTATTGCGTCGCTACATCGGTCTTGGGCCAAGCGGCGCTGAAAGGATTGCAAGTGAGCGGTACAGACACAAGCTTCTTTATAGTGGCCGCTTCTCGAGCTGAACGCAACTTGAGCCACGCCTAACGCATCATTTGGCAGGCATGCGTGGAGGGCTGACTGTGTGCTCTTGAGTGCGCGCCCTGGGGCCGGGGCTGCGCCAAACGTATTTGCAAAGATCAAGCGAAGCTTTTATGCAGTTTTGTTGAACATGAGCGCCGGGAAGGTGCGGCATCAAAAACAAAATTGTGCGGCATGGCTGCGACTGCTTTGCTTAGAGTTGTCAGGGGTGGGTCTACAGCAGGCTGGTTTAGGATTGTTTGGGTGGGTTTGCAGTGGGTTTGAGGTGGGTTTGAGGCGGGTTGGCGTGGGTTTCGGGGAAGACTAGCCAACTCCAGGAAAGCGTGCGCTACGGCCTCAAGCTGGCGGACCCGAGCTTTGCTCGAGAGCAGAAGTCTTGCAGCTGTTCCAATGCCTCGAGCGACTCGCGTCTGGCCCCTTCCACTTGGATGTCGTGTACCTACTGACCCCACCTCTGACGAAACAATCCCGGCCTTCCTTCCGACGTATTCTGCACAAGAAGCGCAAGGGCAAGTCCTTGCGAATTGTTGAGATGTCTTGCAAAGGCGCAAACACGGGCTTATTCTTCCGGGAGGATGCGGACATGGTGGCCTTCCACAAGTGGTTGACCGACTTTGGGAGACGCGCCTTGGCAAAGGGAGCGAATTGCCCCGAATCTGTCGCAATTCCAGCATGTTTTACGTTTGCGCCTGTTCGCTGTCGCACTCCGTCGCGACGAACGTTTGCTCACCCAGGTCGATTCGGCGTCACCGGCACCAGCGCCAGGGGCTACGACGAGCCGAGCGCCGGAGCCGCAGGCCTGGAGATTTGCATCGCGAGAGTTAGGGCTCTGTTTTGAGCACATTGCGCTTATTGCGCTTGCACTTTCACTCTTAGCACTTGCACTTTCATTGCGCTTTGTGGGCATGTGACAGCGACATGATGGCGACCAGGGTTGCCACTAGAGAACACCTCGTTAAAGCACAAGGAATGCAAGGATAGAGTAAACAGTCAAGCTTCGGATGCACCACCGATGATGCGCTCAATGAACTTGCTTGCAAGTTCCGTCTGTAAAATTTCACAAGGTTCTTGGGCCAAGCAAGGAAGTGAGGACAGCCAGTCTGCAGTTCGTGCCTCCAGAATCCGAACGCGCTTTATATCCAACCTTTTATAGTTTGACAGACTGTTTGAGTCGTTCCTGTAGTTGTTTGAATCGTTCCTTGCTGCATTCTTGATATTCTTTCTCTCTTTCAAGGAAGGTCTGCGAGAATGGATCCAAAGCGGCAAGGACTCGAATGGGATCCCTCGAGGATTGAAGGGATTTTGAATTTGAGTCGATTGAATTCGACTTCGATATACGGAGGGCCTTGCGTGCCTTCGACCCGGGTGCGCTTCATCCGGGACAACCCGAAGGTCGCGGGCTCCGCGGCGCGGAAGCGGTTCCAGCGCTACAAAAACGCCAAGACCATCGCGGAGTTCCACGCCTTGGGAGGACGGGGAGAAAGAGGACTGAGAGCTGAAAGAGCTGAAAGACGCAACGAGGAATCAAGAGGAATCAAATCAACAATTGAGATGAATGAGATTAGCTCTGGATTTTTGTTCCACGGATCTGTGGAGCAAGCGGATTGCGGGTCGCAAATGGCAGGCTTGCGAGGCGACTTGCAGTACGACATCAAGCAGGGCTATGTCACTCTCGGTTGACGCAAGGAAAAGGGTGCGCCTAACTCACGGTGCACAGTTGCCAACTCTCACTTTCTGTAGCCTGGATTGAGAACACCGAGATTTCGACCATTGGCTCAAGGGTTGCAGCGCACAGCGCAAATAATGAAGTGGACATCGCTGAAAGAAGAAGACGGGCGAAGAACGCACGGGACAAAACAGACGTGAGTGTCAAGAAGTCGTAAGCGGCTCGATTTCGTTGCTCGTGCCGTTTTGGGGATCGGTTCGTGTCTCATTGCTCGTCTTGCTCCTTTTCGTCTCATGTGCCGACAGGCCCGAATCGACCCGACCCCGAAATGGCACTCGAAGTGAGCTCGACAGGTGCTCGACAGCAAGTCCGTAAAGGCGCACCGTTTTTGTATTAAGACGCGGCTCTATGATTATTCTATTTCTTGCGTTTCTCATGTATTTTTCTTTGCTTTGGTTGCCATTGCGCCTTGCAGGCCAAGCCGACCTTGGAAGTCGTGCGTGAAGAGGAAACAGACAGAGTCTTGGGCAGAGTCTTGGACAGAGTTTCGTGCTTGCGAGCTCAGGCCCAGTCCCATGTTTGGCAGCTGACGCTTACGACCATCAAGGCGTGAGGAGTCTGATGGTGCCTTCCAGCTTTTGCAAACGCTTTTTACCCTTCGCTTTTTTTGCAAGACTCATTTTTATTTTCTCTCTTCTAGCCTGGGCTCAAGAACCTCCCAGCCGGTCAGGCCGGTTACGACTTCTCGCAGGTCTAAGGGGCTTTGCAATCCTCTCCACCGCTACCGGCAAGCGGCGCTTCATCCACCGGTTGAAGCAGGCATTCTCGACGCTTGGCCCCCACCACGTCCGGCGCGTCATGCGCTTTGCCTCATCGGGCAGATTGCCGCCCCACTACAGTCAGTCTGGGTTTTCGCACACATATCTCATTGGCTCCAACAAACAGCACTCGGACGCAATGCACGATCTCCACTCAGCTATGTCCAAGACTTCCAACGACGACTCCTCCAAGACATTGCCACACAGCTCATCACCCCAATGATGTACCAGCCCAGACTTCCCACTATCGGAGATCCAGACGGCCCAGATACTACAATCCCGGTTACCGCGCCGCACACACTGCATCAGCTCAAGGCTGGGCTGCCACTGCCCACATCTACCACGACGCGCCGCTATTCCCACAAGGGTCTCTCCTACCCACCTGCGCCGATCGCATCATGATCCACAGGCGAATCTTGCCGCCCAACAACACAATTACAGTCACGCGTGCCACAGCAACACTACACTTCAGCGCCAGTTCACAGCGGGCATCTTTGCGCCGCTGGGCCACTCAGACTGGCGCACAGCCGCTCTTTGATGCCACTGCAGGAAAGTGCATCTACCTTGACCAGCCAATCTGGGGCTTCGGCGACCTGCCAGGTACTACCAACAGACAAGCCATCCTTGACAATCTCAAGCAGCTTCTCTCCTTCACTGCGTGTGTCGACCCACAACCGTGGGGACTACTCACACCCGTCCAAGCACATGCTACCATCCTCAACCTCCAAAAAGGCGCGTTACAGCCCTGCACCACCAGCACAGGGCTCAAACGCAACAGGCGGCTCATCACGATCTTCCCGCACAACTACCACTGGACCCTTCTGATCATTGAGAAGGACACAGAGACTACAGCCACAGCGCGATGCTGGGGCTGCCCGCAACAAGACATTGCGCTACAGTTGGCGTGTGCCGTCAACTTACACATGCGCCGTCAACACGAACAAACACAGCCAGGCACCTGTGGCGCCATCTCGCTTGCACACTTCGGACATGAGCTGCAGCTCTGGGATCACCTCACCGACGAGCACATACACCACTGGCACTCAGCATTTGCCCAGACACCCAATCAGCAAGCTGGCCTCTACGCCAAACGACCCAAAGGCCCCAAGGCGGCGCCCTGCGCCACGGCCTTCGAGACCATGGCGGAGCTCGCAGATCTACCACAACAAAAAGGAGTTCCAGCCTCGCAGGCCACAGACCGAGCAACCGCAGCACTTGCTACCGAAGTACAATCAGCGCTACAACAGCTTCTAGGCCAGCTACGCGCTTCCGGTGGATCTCCACAGAAGAGCTCGAGGCACATATTGCCAATAATGCCCCACCAGCAAATTCGGCACGCGTACAAGAAGCAGACAGCTCCCAACAAGACCAAAACACAACCACGTTCAGCATTGACCCAGCGCAACTTTATGTTATTCCGGAGGGAGCCTTCCTCGACAATGACAGGAACATCATCACACCAACAAGTGAGGCATCGCTGTGCTGTCGTCCGCTTCCCAGCACTTTATCTGGGGACACAAGAGCCGATCCTTCTTACAGGCGCACTGCTGCAACTCGGCGACTCCACTGTGCTCCGAGCTGAACCCACTCTTGACAGCTTCGACACTACCACCTTTCGGATCGGCACTTTCAAAGATGAGGCCAAATTCGATTGGGATGGCTTCATCTGTCAATAGATCTTTAAGAAAATCATCATCGGAGGATGGCAGGTCATGTCCTGCTTTGGACGGCGACTTGGTTTCATCTTCCGAGCCAACCATTCTGTGGATCCCTTTAGCCACATTCCTCCTTTAGAACCGTCAGGTTCAATCTTGGACTTCTCCTCGCCCCAATGATAGAAAACTTTGCGCAACTCTTCTTCTGTCCGTGGGCTAGCGAGTTGCGGCGGTGCGCTATGTCCAATTGGACAAGCTCTCAGTTCCAAGCAACTTGTCTGCACGTCACGGAAAGGTTTCTTGCGGTTGCTGCTGCCTTCACGAGTTGCTTGTAGGTTCTGGCCTTTAATGAAGCTGGTGCCATACCTGTCTTGGTTGACGGTCGGACAAGGTGTCATGGGACAGGTCTAGTGTCAACCCAGCTCTCTGTCATGAATGCTTGCAACGACACATTTCGGCTGAAGATGATGTTCCGTCATAAAGAGTTGGTGACATCAGTTGCTCTCTCTACCAAAAATGCGACCGTCAAGGATGCGCCCACCGGTTTGTAAGGGAAGTTGCAATTGTCAACTTGTTTCTGCTCTGAAGCCACTGCTCTTGCTCTGTGATGGAGCTATTACAGCCTTCTGACAAGGTTCGCGTTCTGGTCGAATCTTGTCATAGAGGTTGTAGATCTCTCGCTCAACCCGCGCGTCCTGAATCTGAACTGCTCTCCTATATGGTGATGTTGGCCATTCAAGCAACTTCTACAACTTAGCCCACAGCTCCAACTGTGCCGAGACAAGGGCTGCAGCAACAAATGCCACAGGTTCCACCCTAGCGTTGAGGAAGAAGTCGAACAAGTCGCGCTGGACGTCTGGATGGCGTTACCTCACATACGAGGGCCAACGCGCCAAGTCAGCCCAGTGTGAAGTCTATGTACGCGTTCCCGCATCAGCTACAACAGCCATCCACACAAGCTCTGGAACAGGCGGCAGCTACTTCGATCCCCACCTTGCGGACGCACAGTTGCCACGGAACACACGGTCATTTGGCTACCTGGAGCCACTCAGAAGCTCAACACAAAGTCCGCGCCTGCAACTACGTGTCAGCGCTAACGCGCATCAGACACAAACGCGGCGTCCGGGTCAAAGAACAAGACGAAGAAGCCGCGTTCAAACTACTACGAGGCAACCATGACTTTGGTCAAAGTCAAGATCACATGTGTCTATCGGCTCTTCCCGCTGCCGTTCGGCATTCAACGATCCGGTGTCAGCCAATTGCTTGCAGCTTGGAACTGGACAGCTCGCCCGCTCCACCCCACAAAAGGATCCAACGAGGGGGCAGCGTGGGAGGTCGGCGCCTCTACCGGACCACCATCCTTCTCACTCCCAGGGCCCAACGGTGACATCATCGCCACCCTCGTCCGCCAACTCAACAACAACACTACAGCCAGCGCACAACTCTGCGCCACAGGCAAAACACGTAGGCGTATCCTCCAAGGAGCACCTCCGCCACCAGCGCAAAACAAAACCGACCCTGGACCAACGCGACGACCCCTGGTAAACCTGGTTCCGCGATATCGACATGAGCGGACCCTCAAAGAAAAATGAACAGCTTGGCAACCAGCTCCGAACCGAAGCCCAAGACGCCAATCGGACGGAGCTCGCCAATACGCAGGACTCTACCAGGCTTGCCAAGCTTGAAACCACAGTCCAGGAACTACAGCAGGGAACACGATTCGAATCCTGGTTTCAGGAGGCCGGCGCCCGCAGTTGATCCCAAACTGACGAACTCCAACAGCTTCACCAGGCATTGCAATCCCAGCAAGGAGAGCTCACCGGTATCCGCGGCAGTTCACCCGTCTCGCTGAACTAGTTCAACACTCCATCAGCTCAGTCAAGAACGATCTCAGCACGCAGCTCAATGCACAGTTCAGCCGATTCGAAAGCCTGCTGTCTGAAAAGGCAAGAACAGAGTGACTGCCTCACCAAGGCTCTTGGCTACGGCCAACCAAGAGGCCCAGCGCCACCACAGGCCGATTTTGGCATTCCTCTCAACTCTTCATTTTTCCTCTTGACTGAGGCCGCCCCCACAGCACCACCGCTACGCCAGCACTTGGCGCAGCCCAGACTACAATCAACCTTCGCTGAGCACCGACACCACAGAGCTACCGAGCTGCTCACAGCGCCCACATTTTTACCCAGCCCACTTCCGACTCAACGGTACGACTGATCCACATTACCTCCCACCACAGTTGCTACCACCAGCACCTCCTTGCCCTGGCCCTACAACACGTACCGCGGACCGTGCTTGGCTGAGCCGCCACTTCGGCAAAGCTTTCAAGCAGCCTCTGCATGGCCACGTGAACAACTTCTAGGGCACGCAACTCCCAACGCGTTGCCTTCCTCTCAGAGCCGGCAGAACCTACCAAATTTCCCTATGGACAGCCATTTGGAAAGCACCAGGCTACTGAGGTGGTTTTGCAGAATGGTGGTGCCACCGACCATGCCAGCTACAAGGGAGTCCCATCACTCTCCCACTCGGAGTTCACCGCACCAACTACCGCAAATTCAAGGCCTGGCGCTACCGCCAACAGCAGCAGGCCCTCAATCTCAAATATGAGAACGATGCCGGCGCCCTTGCCAGGGCGCTCCGCGAGCAACCCAAGGCCAATTGATCTCTACATGTCGACCGGGATGCACCACTATGGGCGGTCGACTCCCGGACATCACAAGTCTTGTTGGATTCCCCTATCACCGCTCATGGTCACTCGACATGGGAGCACCAAGGCCAATCTGCTCAGACCCAACAACACAGCCCCACCAGTCACAGTTTTGTCCAACATTCTCCTAAGTCCTGGCCATCTACTAAAGCAACCCATCTTCGTCACAGATGCGAAGGACATACAGCAAGAGTGCGTTGACCTCTGGACATCAAGATGGAACACAGCTCAGCAGCTCACGCCAAGCAAGCTTGACCGAATATACGACTTCGTCCAGGCACACGCACTCAGCGATCACCAACAACCACAACTGCCCTACATACCAGTCAACATCAACCGCTGGAACTGTGTTCTGGCTAAATATGCGATCACTTGCGCCATGCCGGACAACTACGATTGCTCCTTGAGCTAGACCACCGAGCTGATCCGGGCTTTTTTCAGGCCCACTCCGTTATCAGCACCTTCGTTAGGATCAGCCACAAACAACCCAACTTCATCGCTGGATGGAGGTCATTCCACCGCAACTTCAATGGGCGTTACTTGCCAGGTCCCTACTCCAAGTTACTCGAGATCCTTCAGCCTCTGCAATGGCGTGTCATCGAGCCGCCCATCATCTGCGACCGCGACAACATTCACTTTGACATGCTACACTGCAGCCACAGCGAGCTCACCATGCGACTGCAGGACGCGTGGGCGCAACATACAGCTCGACAAGTTCAGCGCCGAGCTGATTTTGCAGGCCTTCAAGGCCTTGACTATCACTGTACCACCAGAAACCGCAAGCGACACACACACACACCACTTCGTGCGTCCCAGAAAGCAGCGATCAACGATGGTACATTTCGCTCAGCACACCAACAGATCAAGTTCGACCTGGCCAAATCTGACTTATGCCCACTCTGTTCGGTGCATAACGACTTCAAGCGTCAAGTCACTGCCTGCCCACTACAACCAAACACGAGAGCCATCAAGACCCGCTTCTGTCACTTTCGGCGTGGGCCGCAACACGCGCAGATCTGGACACCTGCCTGGCGGCCGTGCCTCCGGCCTCGTTCAGACAATAGGTTGGGGGGAACTGTGCGTTCGTCTCCGCCCTGTGGGCAGCGCTCCATCAAGTCCCAGTCTGCGTATGGTCAGACTCCAAGTACGTCATTGACAGCTTTCATCGATTAGAGGGCAGCAACAACGCGCCCCGCCAGATTGAAAATGGGGATCTTTGGCGCCAGATATGCCAGATCGAAGCGCGCGTACCATAGGGCAATTTGCACGCAAAATGGATACCTGCCCACTTGGACCCCATAGGTGCACCTTGCCCTATGAGGGCTGGGTTGCCGCCAACACTAACATGGCCGACCGAGCGGCAGTCGCAGCAAAACAACACAGGCCAAGCCTTCTAACAGATTTGGACGGCAGCCCAACAACATTTCGTAGATTGGTCGCATATCTGCAATGCGCTTGACGCTGTATACTTCGGGATCGCCGATGCTTCTCACCAGCCGCCGCCGCAGGAGGATGACGACCAACCAGATAAACCAGAACAGCCGCAGTTGTTCGCGCAGAGGGGCTCCATATGGGCAGAGCAACTACCAATCAACTGCCAGGATGCTTCACCGAACAACTGGCCATGCTCAGCCTGCAACTTGATGGTGAATGTGAACAGTGCCAGTCAGCTGGCTTGAGATTGCCTTTCTGGCCGCCACCAACGGAGATGTCACCCTCCTAAGAACATCAGCTGGATGGACATTGCCCGCTACTAGCTTGTGCCTGCCTGCCACCATTGCGCAGTATTGCAAGCTTGCGCAGCGTCTTTTGGAACAGCTAAGAAGAGAGCGTTTTGTCTTGTCACAAGCGCCTACTCTTGCGTCCTTCTTCGGCGTTTTTTCCTCATACTTATTCGTTTTTTTGCATGTTTTCCTCGTTTCTTTCCTTTTTCCTCTCTTCTCTTACCCTTTTTCTCCCGTTTGTTCCTCTTTTTTTTCCTTTTCTTTGACGGCTGTTCCTAAACTCGGCTCCAGTCCTGCCTTCGTTTCGTGTACGTCCTCCTCAAGAAGCTGAGCGCGGAGAAGGCCCGGCCTGTGGCTCGACTTCGGACTGTTCCGTCGCTTTCGCATCGTACTCGGACTTCTCTTTCTCTCTTTTCTCTTTTCTTTTTCCCTTTCTCTTTTGGAGCTTCTGACTTCGGAACACGCTTCGGGCTTCGGAAGCCTTAAACCGGGAAATGGGAGCTTCCATTGAACGCCTTCCGCGCTTGATCCCTACCAACGCAGAGAGCTGAGGTGAAGACGCTGTCTTGGCCCAGAAAGCGCAGGAGAGAACAGATCGGAGCTGAAAGGGTTGAAAGGGTTGGAGTTTGGAGTGCGGAAAGCGGAGGCGCTGGGAGAAGCTTTCGGAGAAGCCGAAGGAGTCGAAAGAATCGAAGCCAAAGCCGAAGGATTCCAAGCGAGAGTTGACCGATGGTGGTCCGCTGCGACGAGGCGTCCTGAGGTCGTGTTGAAGGGGCACGAAAGCAAGTAACTCAGAAACTGAACAATGTCTGCCAGAATGGCACTGAGTCTGTTTGAATCCTGGCCTCACTTTCACTTACAAACACCGTTCACCCCATTTGAACCACTCAACTCCAAAAGCTGAAACCTTGGTTGGGCCCTGTGTGGCAGACGGAGCGTCGGTGACAGAGAGACACAAATGGATCGAACGGATGGAATGAGAGGGAGGGGAAACGACAAATGCCCTGAGTTCCTGCGTCGATAGCACTGGCTGACTACTGAGACGGCCGAGCATGCATAGATGGCAGGCATGATGTTTCGTATTTTACCTACTTTCATGACACTTGCAAGGCAAGGTGCATTCTTGCCTTCAGAGTTTTCGAGAGACATCGTGCCGCCTCGTTTTCCAGCGAAAGCCACGTGGAAGCAGGACAAAGCTGCAACCGATTGGGTTCAAACTGGCAGAGGGAGGTCAAGCATCGAAATTGCGTCAGCATCGATTCGGAAGTCAAATTTGATAAGTTTTGAAGTCGAGTCGAAGCCTTTCGGAGATGCCACGGCGCTTGAGCTGCCGGGGACAATCTTCCCAGCCCCGCAGAGACACTTGAGACGCTTGAGACGCTTAAGACGCTGGTCAGCTTTTGTGACTTGCGAAATGCTAAGCTGCAAGCGCTGCAAGCGCTGCAAGCGCTGCAAGCTTGCAAACTGGGAACGTCGTTTTCAAGCAAGTCGAGCGGCCAGTTTTAGGGCTACCAAGGCCCCAGCAGTGAAGCGAGAGAGGCCAAGAGCCAAGTGGAGGTAAATGATTTGAAGCTACATGTTCGGTTTTGTTCCGGGTCGAGTTGGCATCTCTTGTCACAGCCAGACTTTTAGAGTCTTGGAGAGTCATAGAGAGTCTTAGTTGTGCTGAGTCACGGCGCAAAGCAGAAGCGCCGTGCACGCAGTGCGCATGCACGTTTCAGACTTCAAAAGTGCTCCTGATAAAGGCGCTCAAAGTCCACGTTTCACTCAAGCAGAGAGCTGCTTGGATTCTTAGACAATCAGAACGCAGCCTGAGCACACTAGGCCAGGCTCTGGTGATCTGAATGCTTGAAATGCTTCACAGCGACGCCCCTGTGACTGGAAGGCGATTGGTTCGGCAGGATGACGCTTTCGAAAAGAGCTTGACAGGAGTGCCGGATTATGCCGCACTCTTTGTGGTTGGAGTGCATTTTCCATGTCTTGTGTGTCTTTCGCGTCTTCCCACTTTCCCGAATTGTCTCTGCGCATTTGGATTCGCATGCCGATGTATTCCATGCTTGGCTCATTCGCTTCTCAAAGGGTAGCCACCCCCGCAACACCGGCCGGAAGCCCAGAGCGGAAGCTCGCCGAGAACCAGTGCCTTGCGGGCCTTGCGGGCCTTGCGGGCCTTGCGTGCCTTGCGTGCCTTGCCTCCGCAGGTCAGAAGACAACCGGAGGCGCGGATTGGTCGAGTTTTTGACCGGAGAGAGGATGGGTTCACAAGGAGCCATGCTGTATTTGCAGCAAGTGCTCAACGAGATTCGCAAGGACATCGAGTAAAACTGACCAGAATGCAACCAAGATTCAGCGGATTCAGCATGCGTTGACAGAAATTCGACTTGGCGAATTGGAGTGGAAGGAGTCCAATCCTCCGAAATCTCTGCGGGCGGAGCACCTCTTCAAGCTCAATGAGGAGCGACAGGCGCTGCAAGCACTGAACAGCTTACATGTGAGACAGGCCGTGTTCAACCTTTCCGAAGAGGATGCTGTGGATGGTCCTTTGGCGGTAAGACTCTTTCAGGCCTTTGGCATTCTCGTATCATTCCTGGGGATTTGCATTTTGAAAGGCTGTGGAGAGGATCCACACGGCATACAGCACGGGCAAGTGCGGTCCTCGTGACATTGGCGTGCTTCACTCGATCAGTGCTTTTTGAGGTACGATAACACAGACTCCAACTTTTTCTATGACTACCTGGCTTTGCTGGGCACCATGCAGCAGCGCACAAAGTTTTCACAAAGCACGTGTGTGTGTGTGTGTGTTTCGTTCCCTAGACACGGTTTTTGCGCGAGCCTGTCGTTGAACACCAGGTAGATGACCGACCGTTTGGACACTTGAAATGCTGGCGTGCATTGCTTAGGAACCAACACTTCTTTAGCCAGAAGCAGACTGAGAAGATGCTGGGCTGGATCAAAGAAGCCGGGAATTGCTTCGAGTGGAGTTGGCAAAATGACAAGAGCCAGAAGTTCAAAACACAGTGTGGTTCTCTTGTTGTTTGTGTGCTCAATGTGCACTGATTTGCTTTGCATGCGTGGATCGATGTGGATCGTCTGTTGTCAACTCGGCGCTTTGAAACCTCGCAACTTTTCTTTGGGCTGTCGCCCATCCCTATCCTCTTACATTATTCTATCCTACATTGTTATTTGTTTTTTAAACATCCTCTTTCAGGAACTTTCAGGCCCTCACCTTATGTGCGTATTCGTATTCGTGTCAGGTGGTGGACGGCAGCGGCATGCTGGGCTCCGACAAGGCGCTGGAGGCGCGTGTCTCGCAAGCGTCAAGTGGCCATTCGTCTAGCGTCAAGTGGCGAATTGCTTTTGAGACATTTTGAAACCATCCCGAATCCCCAACCAACTCTAAGCCTCTCGCTCAAGCCACCTCACCCGCACAGCCTAAGCACTTCCAGAGCTTGCTGGTGCTGGGGGTGCTGGATGCTGGTACTTGCCAATGCTTCGGATTTGCACCCAGCATTGCCTTCTGCCCTGAAATGTGAGAGAGAATCCGAAAAGCGCAATCGAATCCGAAGGAATTCATTTCCCCGTTTGGTTCTTGCCGTCGCTTGAGGCCGAGAACGAGAAGCTCAGAAAGAAGCTCGCGAAGCTGGAGGCGGGCGAGTGCGATTTCGAATTCTTATCTCTTTCTTTCTTTCTTTCTTTCTGTTGGAGTCGGTATTTTTTCTCTCTTTACATGTGGTTTTCTGCCGTTCATGAAGTCCGAAACATGTTGCGACGTGCATTCTCAGGGGGCCGTCCAGGCGATTCGCAGCATCGAGGCGGGAGGAATGCGGTCACATTTCAGACGCGTCATGCCCGTTTTCCCATCACAGTGCCGATTCCAAGGAGCCCAAAGCCAAAAAGAAATTGAAGGAGGAGACTGGGCAAGCTTGGGCAAGCTTGGGATGAAGGCAATGAGCGCATTGCCTCTTGATGGAGCGATCGACCTGGGTCCATTTTGACGGAGTTCCCTTCGGGTGACTGCCATGCCAAGCAGGAAATTCTGGAATGGCTCTACACTTGCTGGCCTTCCTTTCCTTGATTAGTTACTTGTCCATCTCCTGTTCTGAGAACAACTCATGGTTGATCATTTGCTGTTGTCGAGACATGGTCATTCTGTGTGCTTAGTCACATGTACACGCAGGCTCGTGTTTGCAAGCGCGAGCGCAGCTGCGTTGGCGTGCAGACGCGCGCGCGCGCACCCATGCACGCAGAGAGCAGCCTGAAGGAGCCTGCCAAGGCGCCAGGCACGCCTTGGTCAAGTCAGGGCTAAGTTCCTTGGTGCAAGTGGCGCTTTCAGGCAAGGGTAAAGGCAAGGGCAAGAGTGCTGCCCTCAGAAGCGAGACTAGAGTCAAGAGATAGATAGCGTTTTGTCACAGGCAAGTACGAGGAGGAGGAGGAGGAGGAGGAGGACATGTCATGTCGAGAATGCCATTGCATCAAGGTATCCCCAATGTGCAGGTCAGTGCATGCAGGAGCCGAAGGGAAAAGGCAAGGGCAAGGGCAAGGGAAAAGGAAAGGCTTTGCCAAAGGAAGAGCCCAAAGGCAAGGGCAAAGGCAAGTCCAAAGGCGTGGAGAAGGGCGAGCCAAAAGGAAAGGGGAAAGGCGGGAGTAGTTCTGGTCATGTGAATTGTCAAAATCAACGGAGACAGGGAAGAGCAAAGCAGTTGAATACGACTACGAAGAGCCCGTGAAGGGCAAAAGCAAAGGTCAGCCACTGAAATGCTTTCATTCTAAGGCTTTGAATGTAGTGCGTCCGTCACTTGAGTCGCTGATTTCGCTCGCGTGACCTGTGCTTGCCTAAGGCAAGGGCAAGGGCAAAGGCAAGAGCAAGGAGGAAGAGCCTCCTCCCCTAAGGCACCAAACCCAGTCTTAGAGTGTCCAGACTTGCAGTGTGCGCAGGGCATCCAAGGGCAAAGGAAAGGGCAAGGGCAAAGAAGAGGAGACCAAAGGCAAGGGCAAAGGGAAGGCAAAGGGCAAAAAGGCTCGAGCCGAGTCGTCGCGTCGGAGCCATTCCTTCCGTCTCGCTCTCAGCGCTCTCAGCGCTCTCAGCGCTCGCGCTCTCAGCGCTCGCGCTCTCGGCCTCGGCCAGGGCTGGAAGGGGAAGTGAAGCTGGGCGTGAGACAGCGGGGGCAGGGCGTGTGTCCAAGCTGCACCCCGTGCCAGGGATAGTCCCAAAAGTCCCATGGAACATCGAAAAGGATATGTTGCCGTGGAGTGTACGCAGCGTGGGCCATTCGACCAATTCGGCCTTTGCAAAGCGGGCGGATGGGCAGACTTTGCACGCGTGCAGTCCTCTCAGGCCTGCCTGTTCATTAGCGGCTTGAGGCTGTAGATTTAAATGTCAGGCACCTCGGGGACGCCAAGGTGACTTTTCCGTCCCATGGTTGCCGGAAGGGCTCCAGGTGACTTGCAAGGAGCGACCAGGCTGAGATTCCGACTGTGCAATGTGGCGGCCGCATGTGTGTGTGTGTGTGCGCCCACGCGGGGACACAAAAGAACGCATGCTCGGCCCGTAGTACATTGACCTGCAGCCCTGCAGCCTCCCGCTTTGTGTTCTTGGCTCAGCGAGGAGGGGCTGATAAGCTCTGGCAGGCAAGATCAACCTTGCGCTTGCCACGTGTTGCTTGTGTCTGGACGCAAGCACTTTGAGGTGAAGTTATGTATCATGATGTCCAGCCGGCAGTTAAAGAGATACTGTTTGGGGAGTGAGCCAGACCTGTGGCACTTGCCAGGGCACGGAGGAACTCAAGGCAAGACATGAGTGCAGCTGGCCCAGGGCACTGCGCCACATGCCGCATGCAGCTCAGCGCGCCAAGGCACTGATGTGCCCTGTTGTTTGGTCTTCCTCGCCAGTCTGGTTGGATTGGGCTACTTGTACGGTGCCTTGGAGTAGATAGCTCGCTGGGGCCAAATACAAGTGCTTTCCTCCGATGTGAGGCTACGGGATGAGCCACGGCAACTTGGGTAGGCTGATGCCTGACTTGCCCAATTGCCGTTCCGACAAGACGTAGAATGCCAGGCTCTACCACGGCATCGACTACCAAGGGCGGATTTGTGGGCTCGATACTCCTGAGGGAGTGCCTGGAAAGCCGGCTCCTTCCAATGTGCTCATGCGGACTGCAATGCGCCTCCGAGCTTAGGCCGTACCTCTTTTGGTGCATGAACTCAGCCATGTGCTGAGCTTCTCAAGAAACCAAGAAACATGGGGCAATGAAAAAGTGCTTGGAGCATTTGAGGCCATGGCAGGACCATCGCTGTCGCTGAATTTGGCGCGCCCCGCGTTTCAAGATGAGCGTGCGATCGCGAATGTTTGAATGAATTCAATGAATCTGCCAGAAAGACCCCATTTGCGTAGCAAGCTGCCCTGGGGCGGAGGCAGGGGAACAGGGGAAGTGTACGACTCTCTTCGGGCCAACGCTGAGGAAGCAGGTGGGCTGTATGAACCAGTCACCGAGTGCAAGCCACGGCCTAAGGGGACGAGCCAAAGGCAAATTGAGACGAAGCCAATTTTTCCAGGCAAGTGTCCGCTTCACAGCAGATAAACTCCTACAAGACAATGGTCGTGATGCATCGCTACTGCTATCCGGACCGCATGTCTTTCGCCTTTTGCTGTATTTCTATAGGTCATGTTCTATCATTTTCACGGTTCTATTTCTGCATGATCATGCTCATCGGTCCATCAGAAATGTACATTCAAATTTACACGCTGACGCGACACAGGCCACCGGGAAGACTTTCCGTTCAATTCCCTTCAGTTCAAAGTTCCCTTCATTTGCAATCCTTTCCTTTAATTTCCTTCACTCATCTTCACTCACTTCCTTATTTCGCAGCTTCCTTTCCTTCAGCTGTGCATTTCAGTTCCCTCGCTTCCTTTCACTTCCTCTCCCAGCTCCCTTCACTTCCTCCCTTCATCTTTCATCTCTTCCCCTCCATTTCCCCCACTTCCCTTGTTCCCTACATGTTCCCTTTCCAATAGCTTCACTTTTCGCACAATTTCCCATCCTTCAGTTTCCTTTCATTTCCCTGCATTTCAGTTGATTCGTTTCATGTCCTTTCATGTCCCCGCATTTGTCTTCATGTTGGCTCTTCATTTCCTTGCATTTGCCTTCATTATCCTTCTCTCCCTTCACCTGCCTTGCACTTCCTATCATGTCCCTTCATTTTCTTCGTTTCACGTCGACCGCATGCCTAGCATCATCCGCATCATTTGCCAGCAATGCTGGGGATGCTGTCCAGCACCGGGCACCTCCAAAAGCACTCTTGAACAAATTCACAATTGCCCCATAGCAGGCGCCGCGCAGCACAAAACGTATGTGCATGTTCAGCTCATGATTGAAATTTCAACTTGCTTCAATCGATTTCAATCGCCTGGATTCAAGATTGCGTGTTGTTTTTTTAAGGGTTTTGAATCCGACCTCATGCCCGATTGAAATTTCGCTCCCCAAGTATTCGCTTAGTTCTCCCTAGTCCCATCGTTCCGCTTAGTATTCCTCCAGTAAGCCCCTATTCAGAAGTGTTCTTACCCTTACACCGCCCTAGTAAGTCTTTTGTATTTCCCCTTGTATTATTCCTTGCTTTAGTGTTCTCTCGGTATCATCTTGGCAGTCTGTTAGGCCCTTGCTCTTCCTTGGGGATTCCCGATTGCTTTTCTCGTAGTACATGGCTAGTATTCCCCGAGTGTTCTCCTAGCATTCTACCTTGTATATTTGTCATATCTTGGTCTCTTTTGCTCCTCTTGTATTGAACTGGTTCTCCAAGTTTCTGCTCGATTTCTCGGCTGGGCGGCTTGCCAGGACACGGGGGCCATGAAGGGTGCAGCGGACGCCCTGCAATCAGGCGCCGAGTTCTCGCGCATGGGAAAGGCCGAAACGCGAGCCGGGTGCGAGGAATGACGGATTTCGGAGCCGAACGCCGAGCGAAGCAACGCCGCAAGAAGGGAAGACGAGAAGACGACGAGCGCGAGATACGAAAACGAACCCGAACAAAGAACAACTGGAACGTTCGAAGACATGAGGCTTACTTTGCACTAAGATTCTTCACTGTTTCGAAACCTGAGTGGTTGTTTGCTTGCGCTCAGCGCCAGGGCTGGCGAATCAGAAGACTGAGCGCTTCTTGGAGCAAGCCTCGCCGTGGGCTGAGTCGTGGGGGGGGCGTTGTTTACATTTCCATCAGGCTTCCAGCTATTTTGTTCATCTCCTTTGTTTCTTGTCATTTGCTGACCGATGTACCCCTGTCGTGTGGTAAGGGGTTGCAGGATGGCCTCGTCTAATTGAGAGATGGTTCGAACGAAGCAAGCGGCCGCTCGATGTGGGGGTCCCGTCCGGGTGTTCGTAGTCTCTCGCCGGCCTCGGTGTTCCCGTGCTTCCAGCTCCTGCTTATGAAAGTCAGATAGTTCGCCCAGTATGGATTCAGTGGTTCGGGTTATAGGTTAGAGTTCGAGACTGCAGTTGGAGGCAGTTGGAGGACTAGAGTTATTTGAGGGCTGCCGCCCTGTGCGGCCGGCCCCTGCTTGCTGACAGGGGACGTTGTTATGACAATTATGACTACGCATTTTTTGGCGGGTTTCACGGCACATTTAAAGCAATATGAAAAAGAAGAGCAGCACGATAATGATGATGTTTTTGATGATGCATTTTTCCCAACATTAGGGATGCTGATAATTACTATGCATTTGCATTATCACCAGCAGTTGTTTTGATAATTATGACGACGCATTCCCTGCATCTCAAACAAGCCACTGGGGATAAATTCGCATAAGCACCTTGAAATTTACCAGAAGTGTCTCGAGTGTGTGGAAACTCGGGCAGGAAACCCATGTTGGGGGCCTTGTTTTCTTTTTCTTGGACTTTGCGCCACCGCTTCATCTTCGCGAGAAGTAAGCCGGTGCTATGCACCCCCGGCATCACCAGAAGTTATTTTGACAATCATGACTATGCATCCCCTGCATCTCAAGTCAGGTCTAACGGCACAAATGTATGTGAAAAAGAAGAGCGCCACGGTTTTGATGATGAACATGATGAGGAACATGATGATGAAATTGAATCATCACATCATCATTTTCATCATCATGTTCATCATGTTCATTTCTGTAGACTTCCCATGGCTTACCTTGGGATTGTCATCATCCAACTTGCATCCTTGCGATTTTTTGAACTTGAAAGATGAACACGATGAGGAACATGATGATGCAAATGACGATGTGAGCATGATGATGATCATGTTCATCATGTTCATCATCATCATCATCTTTAGCATCATCATGTTCATCATCATCATCATGTTCATCATCATTTGCACATAAACGTTTGAAGTGTGCCGTTAGACCCGACTGGAAAGGCAGAGGATGCGTTGTCATGAGTGTCATGCATAGTGATGACGTTAACTGCTGGTGATGCTGAGGATGCGTAGTGATGAACATGATGATGAGGATGATGAACATGATGATGAAAATTATGATGATGATGATGATGAGTGATGATGGTTGTTCATCACCGTCATCATTATCATCATTTTCATCATCATGTTCATCATCCATCATCATGTTCATCATCATGTTCATCATCAAAACCGTAGCGCTCTTCTTTTTCATATACGTTTCAAGTGTGGCGTTAGACCCGACTGGAAAGCAGAGTGCTGCTGATGCTGGGGATGCATAGTGATGACGTTAACAGTCAGTTATCAAGATGACATTTATGGCCCAGAGGTACAACAAGTTGCATGATGTACATTCAAGTCAATGCCCAAGCATGACACGATCATTGCTTTGGCTCAAGTGCTGAAAAGAGCGCGTTGCTCGCGCTACCCACAAGGTTAAGGGAGAGGTCGCAGTCACGGAGGGGCTCGTTCCTTTTAAGGTCCCGGGTTCCCCCGTTGTTGACAAAATACTTTAGAGCCTCCGGCTCAGTCCGCCGACATTGTCCTCTCCCTTTTCTCCCTGGTGTGTTCTGTCGTCCTCTCTCCCTCCCTCCGCTCCCCATCCTCCCCATCCCCCCAAGCCACTCTCTTCCCAATCTCCCTCTCTCGTATGTATGTATGTACGTATGTATGTATGTAATGTATGTATGCATGCATGTATGTATGTATGTATGTACGTATGTAATGTAATGTAATGTAATGTATGTATGTATGGTAGGTAGGTAGGTATGTATGTATGTATGCATGCATGCATGCATGTATGTATGTATGTATTGCATGTATGCATGTGTGTAATGTAATGTAATGTAATGTAGTGTATGTAATGTATGTATGTAATGTAATGTAATGTAGCGTAGCGTAGTGTAATGTAATGTTGCACAGCTCATTCCGGCAATGGCAAGCGTTGCTTCTGACGACAATCGCATCAGTTGGCTTTGGGATACTGCCGCAGGGAGACACTTGATCGGACGTCAAGCTTTGAATAGCAACATGATCAAGTGCGTGCGCGAGAGCAGCACACCCGTAGGTTTTGCGACTGGGGGTGGTGCCCAACAAGGCACTACTTCATTAGGGTTCGAGGACAGCCGAGTGATACCTGCTGAAGAGCAGGTGTACGTCCTCCGTGATTGCCCACCAGCGCAATCCATCGGGAAGACCGTGATGGATCAAGGACACCTATTCATTTGGGATCCACGTGAAAATGTTCCATACCTTGTTCCCCCAAAGGACATCAGTAGATGCAAGATTAACGTGCCCCGCAATGCGCGCATAAATGCATCTAGGGTAGTGGAATACGTTCTCCAGTATGATGAGGTGGTAAAGCCCAAGTTGGCCGAGTCGTCAACTCACCCCTGGCCGATTGAAGCCGCTGCTATGAGCGCGGCCGAAGACGATGTCGTTTCTCTGTGCGATGACTCGTGCCAAGCGTCAGATGAAGGTGAGCCAGATCAAGTTCCTGTGAACATGCTAGCGGCCGAGGAAGCCCCTCCTCCCGAGGATGAACTTCCGTTGATCGCCTTCGGGGATGGTGACCCGACACATGATACTGCGTTGAAGGAGCAAGCAAAATCTCCTGAGCACATGAGGTCCCATTTCCCTAAGAACCCGTTTTGCAAGGTGAGCAGCGATCAAAAAAGCTCAGAGCAATTTAAGCAAGGGAGCGCTGAAATCAATCCGCGCGGAAGGTTTTCTGCAGGCCGCGGAAGCTTGGTGAAGGGCCGGCGGACTTGACTAAGAGATTTGCGCCGCGGAAGGGCGTGGAAGGGTAACATTTTTGGAGCGTCAAAAGCGTGTAGAAATATTTTGCTCTCAAGCGATTTGGGCCCAACAGTGGTTTTCGCAAAAAACAATTTGTTCGGGCATCGTTTCCGCACCCCGGGCTTGCAAGCCCGCAAGAGGCACAACACTGCCAGCAGAGCCCGGGAGGACTTGAGCCGCAAGAATTTGCGCTTCGTGGGATGGCTCCATGAACTTTCCCGAGTCACCACGATTTGTTGGGCCCGAACAAATCGTTTTTTGGCCCTGGCTGCTTCGCTTCGATTCAAAAGAAAATGTCGGCCAGCCAGCCCTTTCCACGAGGCCTGTGTGGTGACTCGGGAAACCTTTCCACGAGGCCTGCGTGTTTTTGCTCCCGGGGCTCAAAAACGAGTTGTTCGGGCCCAAGAAATCCGGGGTTGAAAAACGATTTGTTCGGGCCCAACAAATCGTTTTTGCTCCCGGGGCTCAAAAACGAGTTGTTCGGGCCCAACAAATCGTTTTTGCTCCCGGGGCTAAAAAACGATTTGTTCGGGCCCAACATCGTTTTTGCTCCCGGGGCTCAAAAACGAGTTGTTCGGGCCCAAGAAATCCGGGGTTGAAAAACGATTTGTTCGGGCCCAACAAATCGTTTTTGCTCCCGGGGCTGAAAAACGAGTTTGTTCGGGCCCAACAAATCGTTTTTGCTCCCAGGGCTAAAAAACGATTTGTTCGGGGCCAACAAATCGTTTTTGCTCCCGGGGTGAAAAACGATTTGTTCGGGCCCAACAAATCGTTTTTGCTCCCGGGGCTAAAAAACGATTTGTTCGGGCCCAACAAATCGTTTTTGCTCCCGGGGCTCAAAAAACGATTTGTTCGGGCCCAACAAATCGTTTTTGCTCCCGGGGCTTAAAAACGATTTGTTCGGGCCCAACAAATCGTTTTTGCTCCCGGGGCCAAAAAACCGATTTGTTCGGGCCAACAAATCGTTTTTGCTCCCGTTTTTGCTCCCGGGGTTGAAAAACGATCGTCGTTTTTGCTCCCGAAAAACGATTTGTTCGGGCCCAACAAATCGTTTTTGCTCGTTTTTGCTCCCGGGGCTTAAAAACGGGCCCGTTTTTGCTCCCGGGGCTTAAAAACGATTTGTTCGGGCCCAACAAATCGTTTTTGCTCCCGGGGTTGAAAAACGATTTGTTCGGGCCCAACAAATCGTTTTTTGCTCCCGGGGCTAAAAAACGATTTGTTCGGGCCCAACAAATCGTTTTTGCTCCCGGGGCTCAAAAACGAGTTGTTCGGGCCCAAGAAATCCGGGGTTGAAAAACGATTTGTTCGGGCCCAACAAATCGTTTTTGCTCCCGGGGCTCAAAAAACGATTTGTTCGGGCCCAACAAATCGTTTTTGCTCCCGGGGCTTGAAAATGATTTGTTCGGGCCCAACAAATCGTTTTTGCTCCCGGGGTTGAAAAACGATTTGTTCGGGCCCAACAAATCGTTTTTGCTCCCGGGGCTCAAGAAAACGATTTGTTCGGGCCCAACAAATCGTTTTTGCTCCCGGGGCTTAAAAACGATTTGTTCGGGCCCAACAAATCGTTTTTGCTCCCGGGGTTGAAAAACGATTTGTTCGGGCCCAACAAATCGTTTTTTGCTCCCGGGGCTAAAAAACGATTTGTTCGGGCCCAACAAATCGTTTTTGCTCCCGGGGCTCAAAAACGAGTTGTTCGGGCCCAAGAAATCCGGGGCTAAAAACGATTTGTTCGGGCTCCACAAATCGTTATTGCTCCCGGGGCTGAAAAACGATTTGTTCGGGCCCAACAAGTCGTTTTTGCTCCCGGGGCTGAAAAACGATTTGCGGGCCCAACAAATCGTTTTGATTTGCTCCCGGGGCTGAAAAACGATTTGTTCGGGCCCAACAAATCGTTTTTGCTCCCGGGGCTGAAAAACGATTTGTTCGGGCCCAACAAGTCGTTTTTGCTCCCGGG